GCGCGTGGCGTTTGTCCACTTCGGGGAAGGTGTTGTTGATAAACCACCTAGCCCCCATCATGTTCTTCGCCTCGAACAGGCTACTCTGAGACACCGCCGAGGTAACAGGGCCCTTCCCCTTACCAAGAGCCCATACCTCAGCCCCCTCCTCCAACTGTCTGAGCTCGGGGTCCAGCTCAACAGGAGGAGGCTGAGGTACAAACTCAGGCACCCCTCTTCCCTCCTCTACCACTTTCTGCCTCTTCTCCACTGCTCTCCTCTCCTCCCAACCCTTCCTCTTCAACGGTGGCACCTCTTCCTCCACCTCAGCTGATGCCAAGGGTACCACCTCCTTCCCAACCCTCCCCTCATCCACTTGCTTGGCTGAAGTCCGTGACTTCTTCCTTGGCTTCTTGTGGATGGCCTTCCCTCCAACAGTGCTAAAAAATTGATCCATGTCAGCTACACAGCAAGAAACAAAATATTAGTCACAATTCTACGTTCTACGTTTAACACTGCAGTATATATTAAACAAACCTTCACTCAGAGCGCTTGGCCCATAGAGCTCAGCAGCCTCTATGCATGCTGCGCTGATGAGGTCCATAATGTTCAATACATCCCCCTTCTTCCTCACTAACCTCCCCACTTCTTCCTCTTCATCCCTATTTAAACTAAACCTATTCTGGTTGGCCCTTTTGGCCTTCCAGGAAGCTAACGCCCTCACCTCGGCATCCCCCTTTCCCCATTCAGTATCATCTACAAAAAAGAATTTTTCCTTCCATCCCTTAATGGATGAAGGACCCGCTGTGAATAAAATCCTACCCTCCTTATTAGCTACCCTAGGGGTGAAATAATACCACCCCTTATCCCTCCTACTCCTTCCCTTCAAAACAAAAAAATACTTAAACATATTTACAGTTGGCACACTGATCCCCTGAGCTCGGCAATAAACTAAAAAACCTATTATTACCCTCATTGCGTTGGGGACCAACTGTGTCAACCCTATATTGTAATCTAATAGAAACCCTATTAGCAACTTAGGAAGTGGAAACCTGAGCCCCGCTAGCAAGTAGTGGGAATACACAGGCATC